GATTATAAGTTATTAAAAAAATAATTTGTATATATGTATATATATATAATTAATAATAATTAATAATAATATGAAATTTATATACAAAAAATTTTAAAATTTAAAATTTTGTTCTATATTTTTTTCCTCATAACAATTTACTATTTTGAAAGCCCGATTTTTGTTTTCTCAACACAAATTTTAACATGTTAAAAGATTTTTTAGCCCCATATCATAAAAGACACAACATTCTGTTATTTATATTAAAAAAACAAAGAAATAACATGAGCAATAAGCATGCTAAGGATGAGCTTAAGAAAACTATAGTATGATTTATTTTATAAATTTATATTTTATTAAAAAATATAACCAGTGGATTGAGAATTAGAGAAAAAAAAAAATGTTTGAACCGAGCGATTTTATATAATTGGGTTCAGTTCGTTGATTATTAGCTGAATGGACGATTCAAGCGGGTTTTCCCCAGTTTAATGAAAAATAGACTTAAAGGTTATCCAAACCGGTCATATGCCCAGTTCATGGTAAAATCGATTGAACCCGTCGATCCGATCTGATCCAATTTTTACAACCTTGAAAATAAGATGATTGATTTAGTAGAACGAATGGACAAATGACACATTTGATGCTTCTATTCGGTGAACATCTCAGAATATCTCATATTTTACTCGATCTTAATGTTTTTGGGAAATATCAAACTGATACAAGTTCCAAATAAACACAACTCTAGATTATCTTAGAAGGATTCCTAGAGTTTGAATAGCTCAACATTTACCCTTAATTGTGTAATTGTCACATAAATGGTGGTTACATAGTCACACAAATGGATGACGAAATCTGTGAAGTAAAATTATCATCAATTATCGATATTGCTAGCAATTGTAGCAAAGATCATATATAAAGACTTCCACCTATTTTCCTTCGATGCATGGCCATAATCTCCTTTCAAAGATAATTTGCGAGAGTTAAATCAAAGGACAGATACATGGATAAGGTGTCTTACTACTAAAACTTTTGAGGCAGGCTAGTATCAAAGTTAACCGAAAAAATAATAAGCAAAACAATATTATTACTAAAAAGGTCAATAAGCGGTTACAACTAACACAAAAGAACTGGAACAGCAACATGACACACAGCTATGGTGGATCTCGAGTGGTGGTGGAGGCCGTTAGAGGGCTTGAAGAGTTGGCAGCAAGGTAAGGATGGGATGGACTGCAAGAGAGCATCGCATGACAGTGAAAGTTTGTGTCCTGGAAGGCAACAACCAAAAATAGGATCGAAACCGATGGAAAACAGCAAAAAACGGTGGGAACAACAGCTAGACTGTAAGGGAGCTGCCTCCGGCAGCTAGACCAGCAACAAGGCATCACGGGGATGGGTTTGGGCAGCTGGAACAGCTAGGACAACATGGAGAAAGGGTGGGAAAACAGCTAGGTAGTGGCAGAGGGTTTTAATGGCATTTGAAAGAGTTGTGGGTGACCGGAAACAAAAAAGGGAGGGCTGGACAACAGGTAAGTTGCGACAGGGCGTGGTAGGGGTGGCTGGAATGGCTACAACAGTGATGGAGGTGAAGTTTGGAAGGCGGCAGTGGAGGCAAACCGAGGAAAAACAGCAACGACTGCTGTTTAGAGGTGCCTCCAGCTATGGAGGGTGACCAGGAGAGGCATGGAGAGAATGTGGAGGGGACAAGGAAAATAATCACCATCTCAAAAGAGAGAGATACAACCAGAGAATCAACCAAACCCTCGGATACAACCCTAAAAATATGAAAATAGACGTCGACGAATATCCTATATAAACTCACGCCAAAACTGTAATCTAAACCCTAATACAATATATATATATATATATATATATATATATA